CAAAAAGTCTATGTAGCTTCCCAAACCATTTGCAGTATGAAGAAAACTATCAAGAAAAATAATTCATCTGTTGTTAAAGCAAAAGCAGAGTTAATAAAATATCCATGCTAAAGCCTAGAAAATAAGCTTGTGTTGAAATCTTTTCCTAGATGCATGATGTTGCACAAAGGAACCTGCTGGGACAATTTTGAAATTTAGGTTTTAATCTCTCAGGCGTGCATATTTGGTAAAGAACAGAATTAAGGTTATCAAGAAAGTCTAAAATTTATGAGTCTGGTCACTTTAAATGCCAAAGGAAAGGAAACAATAAAAGAGATAGATTACCACTTTAATTGGTTTTTTTCTTTTTTTTTTTTAACCTAAAGATGTTTAATTGTATTCATGCTGTGGAAATATTTTCACATCAGGGGAAAATAAATAGTGCCGTCTGACTAATCACAGTCGATCCAAGTTTGGACAATTGCAGAAAACACTTATAAATCAGTCAATAGAAATGTAAAGACATACACATTTGATGGATACTTTTGAATAACAAACAAACTTATAAGCCAAAAATAGATCAGTTTCTTTATACCTGTGTAAACTATTTATTGAAAACTATTTCTCAGCTGTAGTAAGTGTAATCGTTCAAAAAAGTTAAAATTAGCAGATTGATCAATATCCCACATGTCACTAAAACAGATCAATTTTTCCAGCAGAGTGAAGGAAGGTGCACAAATCTGAAGGCTTTATTGTCTGATAAATTTCTCTACTGTTGCTCCTCACAAAATTTTGAAATTTGCTTTCTTTCACATTTGAAAAAGTAAGTTTTCCTCCTATGGAATCCAGACACAGTGAAAGCAGTATTGTTCCAATGTTACTGCATTCTAATTGCATGTAATACAAAAAAAATTGATTCAGAAGACTGGCATGTGTTTGAGTATTGTTACACAGCCGTTAGACAAAATGTACCCTAATGCACATTGTGCACTCCTTTAAAAAGGCATCATATTGACCCCATTTGGTGAAAGAGATCAGATAAATATTCTCCTAATGCATTCTATAGTTTTCAGACTGTTTCCATTGTATGCAGCCAGAGCTGGCCCACAATATTTTGGCACCTGAGGCGAGGAGCTCAAATGACACCCCCATACTCCCTCGCTGCACCAGCAGCAGACACAATTTTCTACACTCTAGGTCCTAGTGGCACCCTTCCCCCAACAGTCTGGCTCCTGAGGCAGCCACCTTAGTTTGCCTCATGGTAAGGCCAGCACTGAATGCCAGCTGTCTTGAGCCACAAAGAAATGTGTTCTTTTGTAGTGTACATAATTACCACAAATGTTGTTCCTTTGCAGTCTATACAGTTGTAGTAACTCTGATTTCTATGAGACTATCTACCCATTAAGGCAGTGATCAGGAGCCTAGGCTAATGAGAAGACATCTCAGTGGGCCACAATATTGTTGTAACCATGACAGTCTCCTGGAACAGGGTAGTTTTGCTAACTGCGCTCGCATACCTAGAATTTGCAGGGGTGCTTTTGCTGGGGCTGCACAGCTCTCACAGTCATTGATGTCTGCACCTTGCTTCATATGCCCTTGCTTTACATGCATGTCACTTGAGTAATACCGATAGTAAAAAAAACCAAACAAAAAAAAACCTATGTGGATGGAAATTTAAAGAATCTGGCAACCTTGCATATGGGCAATGATAAACAACATGTTTAATGGGCAACAGGTTCCCACCACTGCATTAAGGTACTACTTAACATTAGTAAGTGGCAGGTCTTTAAATATCTACTGTATCTTTTCTACATTGCTATTTTAATCAGCAAATGGTAGCATTAACAACCTTGTTTTTAATTTAATTAGAGAATTTTAACGAGGTTCTAATAGCACCTGTGAAGCTGTCCAATAATTATGATGATCAGCGGGAAATATATTGTTCTGTGTGTCTCCTTATTGGTGCTGTTTTCTTGGCTGCTAGTTACCATAATACTCAAACAATTTAGAAATCACATACAAATAATATGCCTATTGTTATAACGTACAGGTTAAACCTCTCTAATCCAGCACACTCTGGTCTGCAACATCTGTGGTCTGGCATGATTTTAATTAGCCGGATGTCCACTTCTCTTGGGTTTGGCCAAGTTTTCCACGATCCCAGAAAGTTTGTTTTTAGCCACCAGTCCTGGCTCTGTGTTCTAAACTGTTGTTTAGTTCCATTGTCTTCTATATGTCTTCTAAGAGCCCAGTAAGCGGTGGGAGTGTTGGTAATGCTGCTAAACAATATTAACCTACCCTGATTCAGCAAATTCTCTGGTTCGACACTTTTCAGGTCCCGAGGATGCTGGACTAGAGAGGTTCAACCTGTAGCAATAAAGAATTTGGAATGCTTAAAAGCCAGCCAATTTTAAGATCTTGGATGTGTAATATTAAATGTATCAGGGTTCCACTAATTCTTCAATAAGCAGATTATTTGTAAAATGCATGTTTAGTCTTAATTTTTAAACTTACTTTTAATTTGTTGAATATTATGCATGGTAAAAACAATTGTATTTTTTCCAATCATGTGAAAGGCTGACAAAATATATACATTCCTGTCTTACATCCATTGACGTTAATGGACATTCACGAGGCATAATTTGGCCAGTCATTCTCATGTCTTTTTTTAATGCAAAGTTCTTTATCATCCTCTGTCATTTAAATCTCTCCTGTAAACTCGCTATGATATCAATACTTAGGAGAAATTAACCACACTTCATCTTTTCACCTGTGTGTCATTTTAGACTTTCAAGAGTTTCAAGGGAGGGACTAAGTCATCTTTTGTAGCATGCACAGCATCTACTCTGTATTAGGTGCTACTTTAATATAAATAAAACAGTTGTAGTAATTTAAAGCAGGTTTCTATTTATAACCATATTAAATCTGCTTTGGTCATTATAAACCATGATATGCCTAACATCTGTTTCAAATGATAAATGACAGCAGTAATATTGACAGCAGATTATGGCTTTAGTGAAGCACACTGGAAACTGTCCTCAGAGAATGTAGGACAGCATTCGTGTATGCTGAAATAAGTAAAGGTAAAGTCAGATAAAGTTTTAGCCTGCCCATTCATGTATGTGAAGTGTCTGAGCTTCCTGGTCAGACACCATCTCCCATGATATACCATGGACTCTACTGTTAGAAGTGGGAGGTAGTACATCATGGTATCATGGGAGTCCATGGCCGTGGTGCGTCATGGAATAGGGTGGCCAGATGTCCCATTTTTAACTGAAATGCCTATTAACAGTCCAGGCAGTGGGAAGCCAGGAGGCTAATACAGGTTTCCTATCTTCCCTGGATCCGTGTAGCTCTCAGAAGCAGCCACCAAGTCCTTGTGGCACCTAGGCACAGGGAAGCTCCATCCGTGTATTACCCTCATGCCCACAGGCACTGCCCCTTCCTCTCCCATTGACCGGGAACTGTGGCCAATGGGAGCAGCAGAGGCAACATCTGCATGAGGACAGCACGTGAAGTTTCCCTGGCTGCAAATCATCACAAAGACCTAGTGGCTGCTTCCAGGAGCACCAAGTCCTTGTGGCACCTAGGCACAGGGAAGCTCCATCCGTGTATTACCCTCATGCCCACAGGCACTGCCCCTTCCTCTCCCATTGACCGGGAACTGTGGCCAATGGGAGCAGCAGAGGCAACATCTGCATGAGGACAGCACGTGAAGTTTCCCTGGCTGCAAATCATCACAAAGACCTAGTGGCTGCTTCCAGGAGCTAGA